AAAAAACCAAAATCAAATGGTAGAACAGGTAGTGGAGCTCTTTGAAAGTTGTTCAAAGGGACTCCGTCAATACGAAACTCCTATTTATGGTTTTGGGTTTGGTTTTTTTTTATTTTTTTTCCTGCCTCCTCCTTTCTTTTGTTGATACAATCTTGGAAGTGGGAGGAGGATTTACAGAAATGCTTGTGTTTTTTAAGCTGCTGCCTCAGACACCTTTTTTTTCCCCACGTAAACATTGTGCAAGAAACCGAAAAGGAAAACAAGGAAAGCAAACACAGCAAAGTCCTCATCAGACCCTTTCTCTGATCRCTCCAGGATCTGAAAATCAGCTTTGCCATGAATGTGTCCCCACAGATGCACCCAGGACAGAACTGGAAAAGCCAGGTTTAAACCCATCCCAGCCTTTAAACCAGATCAGTGACTCCTCTGAAGGGACAGAGCAGGGGCTCAGCAGCACTGGGGCTCTCTAAGGAACCTCCAAACCCCTCTGGTCCTCCTTCAGGTAAATCCTGACTGGAAAATGTTGCTCTGGGGTGTGTGAAATACCCTCAAATTCAAAAATACCCTCAAATTCAAAGAAAGAGGAGCATCCTTCATCCCCCGCTGTGCTGGATCCCATTGGGACATCCTCAAGGCCAGTGATGAGGACCACGCCAACAACCAACACTTTGAGCTACAAAAGTGAGTTTTTAGGAGATTTTTTTGCCACTGATTTCAGCAGCAGCACCGTTGAGGTGACGTGAATGACGTGCAGAGCTGGCACACGATGCCAAGGACTGTGAATTTACCAAAAAAAAAGCACCAGGAGCTCTGTGGACGCTGCTTTTGTTCTCCTCCAGGTGCTCCCCGGTCACTTGGAGGCCGTGCACGGGCTGAGCAGGCTCAGGAGAAGGTTAAATCGCAGCAAATTTGGGTTTTCATGTGAATCAACAAGCGAAGGCAGAATTTGTGGGGTCCTTTGGCTTTTCCTTCGCTGCCTGGCTTGTGGGATCTCCATCTGCGCCTTGGCTACTGGGCGATGCTTAAATGAAAAAACGGTGCCAGCCCTGGGTTTGCAGAGAGCAGGGCTCTAAAATCAAAGTTTTTCTTGGGGATTTGCATTGGTTTGGCTGAACCAAAGGTGCCAGGGAGCAGGGAATGGTCCAACTTTCTTCGGGCTGGCAGGATCACCACGAGGCACATGTTAGTGGGGAGTGGGAATGGATGATGAAGGGCATAATTATGGGGCAGGATGTGGGAAATGATGCTCTGGAAGGTTTCAGGGTTTGCCCAAGGATGTGGGGGGATGGATGGAGGTGGGGCTGGAGCTCWGCAGCTCYGTTTCTCGTGCMTGAGCGCRGTGTCCAGRMCGGTGCTCCYGCYGGGAAGTGGTTTTGGCGTGGAKTGCCCATACCTTTACCWCRAYTTTTTGGCTGCTGGGCAATGTTCAAATGAGCTCATGGCCAAAGCCCTGCCAGCCCTGGGTTTGCAGGGAGCAGGGCTCTTAAAATCAACGTTTTTCTTGGGGATTTGCACTGGTTTGGCTGAWCCAAAGGTGYCAGGAAGCAGGGAATGGTCCAACTTTCTTCGCACTGACGGAGTCACCATGCAGCACACGGCGGCGGGGAACGGGAATGGGTGATGAAGGGCGTAATTACGGGGCAGGAGTGCTCTGGAAGGTTTCAGGGTTTGCCCAAGGAYGTGGGGGGATGGATGGAGGTGGGGCTGGAGCTYRGCAGCTCCRRTTCTCRTGCMTGARYGYRGTGTCCAGGMCGGTGCTCCYKCCGGGAAGTRGTTTTGGCGTGRAKTGCTGATACYTTTACCTCGATTTTTTGGCTGCTGGGCAATGCTCAAACGATCTCACACCTAGACCCGTGCCAGCCCTGGTTTTGCAGGGAGCAGGGCTCTAAAATCAGTGTTTTCCTTGGGGATTTGCACAGGTTTGGAGCCGTTTGCAAAGGTGCAAGTGGCTGTCAAAAAAACTGTAAAGACCTGGAGAACTGGCCTGGATGTCTCTCCCTGGAAGCTATGGAAAGCAGTACTTGCAGTCCTGTTTGAACTTGCTAGTTGATGAGTTAAAAGGTTGTTTTGACCCTTCGGGATATTTTTTTTTTTTTTAAATACTCCTTTCACCTTCCTTCTTCCAGCTTTATGAGAGGGCCAAGCCAAGAGCTTTGTGCTCAATAGTAGGAGTGTAATTACAGCAAGTCTGGGCGAGCGGCTCTCCCCCAGGGCTGTTTCAGAGTTGTTTTTTGCTTCTCTTCTCTCTTTTTTTTTTTTATTTCCACGTTGTTGTTCTCGTTCCTCCTCCTCTCCACGCAGCAGCAGCTGTGGGACCCCGCTCTTCCCCCGGAGCCGGGGGATGTGATTCTGGCTGCAGGAAGGAGATGAGGAGAAAGGGAGATGGAAGGGAGAGGGAGCCAAGGAATTGGTGAGGGCTGGACGGGACCCAGAGCAGCTGCTTGGGCTGGGGGAGTCAGGGGGAGYCAGGGGAGGGGTTGGAGTGGAGCAGAGAGGAGAAGAGAGGAGCAGAGTGGAGCAGAGCAGGCAGCGTCGGCGGCACAGGGAGCGCTGCCCGCCCGGGATGCAGCTCCCGGCTCCGTGTCCTGGCTCCATCTCCTGCATCAACTGCATCTCCCAGCTCCTGCATCTCCTGCAGCTCCTGCATCTCCCAGCTCCTGCATCTCCTGCATCTCCCAGCTCCATCTCCTGGCTCAATCTTCCACATCTCCTGCATCAACTGCATCTTCTAGCTCCCCCATCTCCTGCATCTCCTGGCTCCATCTCCCGGCTCGATCTTCCACATCTCCCCCATCTCCTGCCTCCCCCATCAATTGCATCTTCCGGCTCCTCCATGTCCTGTATCTCCTGCAGCTCCCAGGTCTCACATCTCCAGCATCTCCTGCATCTCATGCATCTCCTCCATCTTCCCCATCTCTCACATCTTCCCCATCTCCCCCATCTCCTGCATCTCCCAGCTCCATCTCCCAGCTCAATCTTCCTCATCTCCTGCATCAACTGCATCTCCTGCCTCCCCCATCAACTGCATCTCCCGGCTCCTCCATGTCCTGCATCTCCCGCAGCTCCCAGGTCCCACATCTCCCCCATCTCCTGCATCTCCAGCATCTCCTGAATCTCCTCATCTTCCCCATCTCTCGCATCTCTCCCATCTCCTTCATCTCCCCCATCTTTCCTGTCTCCCACATCTTCCCCATCTCCTGCATTTCCCACATCTCTCCCATCTCCTGCATCTCCTGAATCTCTCACATCTCCCCCATCCCCAGCATCTCTGACATCTTCCCCATCTCCTGCATTTCCCACATCTCTCCCATCCCCAGCATCTCCCACATCTTCCCTGAATCTCCTGCATCTCTCACATTTTCTGCATCTCCCACCTCTTGCATCTCCAGCATCTCCCCCATCTCCAGCATCTCCCACATCTCCTGGATTTCCCATCTCCAACATCTCCTGGATCTCCTGGATCTCCCTGCTCTCACATCTCCCACATCTCCTGGATTTCTCATCTCCAGCATCTCCCACATCTCCTGGCTCTCCCTGTTCCCACATTTCCTGCGTCTCCAGGCTCAAGTTGTGTCCAAGACCTGTGGCATCAGCACCTCCTCCTGCTCCTGGGAAATGCCCTGCTTGGAAAARTTCCTAAATCCTCAAATCCTCCTGGGGCCAGGCTGCAGCCATGGCCTGAATTCTTGTTTTCCAGGGAAAAACCAGCATCTTTGGGATCTGATATTCCCCTGTGCGAGTTTCTCTTCCCCTGTGCCTTTCCATCTCGTCTGGAGGACTGGATTTGTTTTGGAATAAACTGGGTGCAACCCCAGGTTGGTCCTGCTGGAAAGAGCAGCAATCATCAAAGTCCCTTTAATTCTCAATTAGTCCGTCTGCCCAAGGCTTTGAAATTGGTGAGATAAACCTGGCTGGAAGTTAAATCTGAATTAACCTCGCCTTGCATGGGTGACCTCTGATGGTAGCAAAGCTGGTTCCTGTCGGGGAAACCCTTTCCTGGGCCAAAATGGGAATATTTGGGTGCATCCCCCTGGCAGGGCACCCATCCCATGTGGGAGCTGAGCTGGCCCTGGCACGGGGCTGCTGTGCTGGGGTATTTTTAGAGGAGATAAGACTGGTGGCAGCAGAGAGGGCTCCGTTTCAGGGCGCTCCGACTCTTTAATTATGTTTTTGGTCTAGRAAATTATAGAGTTCCTGGAGCATAAATAGAGAACTCACGGAAGGTAATTGCACCTCTGGGTGCAAGATGAGCTGGGAGAGGCCGTGTGGAGTTCGGGATGGTGGGAAGAGAGAGGAATGGGCTCCTTGGGGCTGCTGGAKCTTGCCCTGAGTGTTGCCCCCAATATTTCCACCCAAGTTGGACACCCCATCCTCTCCATGGCACTTTTGGGTGACCCTCAACCCCATAAAGGTGGGGACCAGTCCTGTGAGTCACCCCACTGCCATTAATCCCTGTATTTTTTGGACAAACCCACCCTTGGGTCCTCCCAAAAGTCATGATCGCAATCTGCCCCTGCTGGAATCACCTTTTACCCRCTCACAAGTGCTGASTTGGCTTTATWAATTTCTTCCTCATCTTGGGAGCGCTGCCAGATGTCCTTGTGACCTGTAAATTCTGCCTTTTTTATGTCCATTATCRGTGGTGAAWCCTTCTTCCCRAGCTTTGGTAACCTCCCCTCAGCTCTGAGCTCATGTCCAGCCCTAAAACCTCAACAAAGCAATCCTACCAACAAGTAATTTATTTTTTTTAACACCTGGTTATCACTTAAAGCTTGTTTGCTACTCTGTTTYGTGGATTAAACCTCCCTTTTTGCAGATTAGTTTGAAAGTATCCAAAGATCAAACATCAAAGAGYATTTTTGCTTAAGAAAATTTTATGTATTCCATATTTTGTGACAGCTGGGTGAAGCTGAGGTTTCCTGGGGGTGGTGGAGATGTTCTCCCTGCCCTGCACTTGGCTCCGTGGGGAGAAAAGACATTTAAAAAGGTGKTTTTTTTTTTCACTCTTCTCATGAGTGGGGAACCTGAAAGGAGAACGTGAGTTTCCTCTGATTTTCCTTTTCCCTTGGTTTCCACCTGTAATCCAGAAATGCACTATGTGGGGGCCTCAGCATCCATTTTTTCCCTCTGTRTGCTTCCCAAAATGATATTCTGCAGCAAAAAGGGTGAATGAAGGATCATTTTAAAATGCTTTATTTTAATGCAGACAAGTTTGATATTTGGGGTGTGCTTTTCTTTTAAAGCATAAATTAAAACCCCCCCAAAGCTCTGGGTTGATAATTTTCTATGTCCCCACATTTTCGTGGTTCCCCCAATTACGCAAGGAGATTTCTCCAGGTGGGACATAATTTTTCGAGCACTTCCCCACCCCATCCTTCGAGTCCTGATGTTTTTTGGGATCTGGAGCGATGAGTTTGGGGCAAATCCAGCAAACTCATCGCTCGAGAGGGAAATCAAAGTTCTCGGTGATGGGGGGAAGGCTGACAGCTGGAGCTGGGAGATAGGAGGGGGACTCTGGAGAAAACAACTGGGGTTGGATGAGGAAATTTGGGCTTCAAATCCACCTCCAGCTGCAGTTTGTGGAGCAGTTTTGCAGAGCTTTCCCCCAACCTCTCTCCTCTGGTTTAACCCTCCACCTGGTTGGGTGCTGGCAATGAGGAATTTCCCCCTCCCTCATCTTC